AATAAAAGTGGGCCAGCATCGAGAGAAGCCCAAAGAGCAGTCAGGTCGAGTCCAGGAGTCGGCCGAGTGGGCCAGCATCGAGAGAAGCCCAAAGAGCAGTCAGGTCGAGTCCAGGAGTCGGCCGAGGCCCAAGCCCAGGAAAGGACCGGCTCGAGGAGCCGTTGAGGGCATTAAAGGCGTTCCTTTAAAAGAGAGCCGTTGAAGCATTGAAGACAGGACCCGGTCGGGCTGTTACCAACCTAGGAGAGCCGTTGGTCGACCGAGTAACAGCGTCCAACGGCTCCATATCTTGATTAGCCTTGAAGTCGGCATTAAGGGCCATCAAGTCGGCAGAGGAGGAGCCACTATATAAAGGCTCCTCCATTCTTGTAAAAGGGAGACACTTCGGACACCCGGAAGAGGAGAGAATAACAAAGAATTTCCGAGCACTCTCATTATCTCTGAGTTAGACATAAATATTATTGAGAGGTGTATCCTCCGACCAAAAGGTTGTGTTGGACCTCCTTGGGCCCAAAAACCCTAAAACCATCACTGGCGCCGTCCGTGGGGATCGAAACGAAGAGTCACGTGTCCTCTTGAGTGAGGCGAGTCCGAGGAACAACAGTCGAATCAGGAAAACTCCAGGCATGGGCAGGAAGCGAGGAACAGTCGAGCCGTCACGACAACGGACGGGAGGCCGACCTGAGAAGCCAGCTGAATAGGAGAAATACTCGGAGCCAAGAAAACGAGACGCCGCCGCCGCCGACGGCCGCAGATAAACCCGCAATTACCTCAGGTGGTGTTCACCCCGGAGCAGTTACGCGCAATCGGGCGCGCCTGCGCCGAAGCGAGCCTAGGAATGAGAGAACAGTCCATCACTCGCCAGCCGCAACGCGAGTTGCAACCGCTCAGAGGCCCGACAACCGGCAATTGAGCCGACGGGCTGAAAGCCAACCGGTACAATCCGTTCATTCCCGGCTAGGTCCCAGCGTTGGCGTCGGTCGGCAAGGGAACGATTAGGGCCGGAAGGAGCCCAGTCCATGCCCCGTTAGCCGTCCGCGACCGACAAGCTGCACGAGAGAAGAGCCGAACCAAGAGAGCCAGGACTGAGACCCGTCGCGTGGAGCAACCTCCCCGCAACCCCGTCCAACCGGCTGGAGTCTGAAGTCGGCGAAAGCACGGAATCCACTGGAAATCGCACCCGGGAGAGGGTCGAAGTGGCTAACCTAGTACAGGAGGTGCGAAATCTGAAAGAACGGATGGAGGGGAAAACCAAATCCCCAGGACGTACATTGTTGACCGCCTTACCCTTCTCAGACGAGGTTATGGCTTTTAAGATACCGAGTGACTTCAAGTTCCCGGAACAAGCCACGTTCGATGGAACCGGCGATCCCCGCGAGCATTTGCTGAGCTATCAGGCCAAGATGCAGGTTTTAGGGGTACGAGACCCGGTCATGTGTCGTGCTTTCTTACCCACGTTGAAGGGGTCAGCACAAAGGTGGCTGGTGGCGCAGCCCTCAGGGTCGATTCACAACTTTGAAGAGCTGGCAGACCGCCTCATGAGCCATTACGCCGCTAATATTAAGCCACAAAAGGACCTAACTCACTTGGGTGACATCCGTCAAGACGAAGGCGAATCTTTGAAAACCTATCTGGCCCGCTGGCAGAAAGAAATCCAGTCCATAGAAGAGGTCGAGGACCAGACGGCGCTCACCTTCTTCATCGAGTCGCTGCGGTCCGGCCAGCTGTACCGAGACCTGAGGGACAATCGGCCGGCCACCTACGCAGAAGCCATTCATATGGCCAACAAGAGGGCCAATACGGAGCAGGCTATGAAGTACAAGCGACAGCGCGAAGTCGGCGGATCTGCCAGCGGAAAGAGAACGCGAGCGGAAGCCAAAGAGAGGCGCCCGGACGTGGCTCGGCGACCCGAAGTTAGACGGCCGTACGACCGACCCGTGGTCCACGCCTATTGGCCGATTCCCGAGCGTCCGGTCCACGAGGTACAAGCGGTTGCCCCGCCTCCGCCTCCGCCGATCGACGATCGCGCGACAAACGAAGAAATGGGTAAGAACGCTAAGTATTGTCGTTATCATAAATCTTATACCCACAGTACGGAGGAGTGCTTCTACCTGAAGAAGATTATGGAGGGCATCATCCAGCAAGGAACCCCGCCTCCTAACCAGTGGAGGCGGAGACCGGGCAGTCGAGGGGATGAGGAGCCCGTCGCCGTTGCCGAAAGCAGTCGAGGCAAACAGCCGGTTCCCGAAGAGGAGGAGGCTCAGTGGCGCCAAAAACCGGTTATCAACATGATAGTCGGCGGGCCGGAAGGTGGTGATCAGCGAACACCCGAAAAGCTTGGGGCTCGGCAGTTGTACGTCGGGACAGTGTACGGGCGTGAGGAGAACTCCAAAAAGGTGTGTCGAGAGCCCATCGTGTTCACCGACAGAGACTTACCAGCCGGAGAAATACCGCATCGAGATGCGTTGGTTATAGCCATGGACGTCAACGGCATCGTCGTTCGGCGAATCCTGGTGGACACCGGGAGCAGCGTCAACGTGCTATATCTAGAAACCTTCACCAAAATGGTGCTGACTCGAGAACAGCTGAACCCCGTCAAAACTCCCCTCGCCGGCTTCACAGGGGACTCGGTGGAGGCTGAAGGGTCGATCACTCTCCCAGTGGAGATTGGCACGTACCCGGACGTACAGAAACTCAGCATGAAATTTATTGTGGTAGACCTGGCCTGCTCGCATAACGCGATACTTGGCCGACCGGGTCTTGAGGATTTAGGAGCCTTGATCTCAATTGAGCATCTCTGCCTGAAATTCCGCACACCGAATGGAGTAGGCACGGTGCGCTGTGACCGAAAGGTCGCCCGCGACTGCTATCTGCAAGCATGCAGAGGGATGGGCAAACGCGAGATGCAGATCCATGAGATCACTGAGAGGCCCCCGAAGAAGACGATACTACCTCGCCCAGAGCCTGCTGTCGAGTTGGAAGAAGTCGAGATCGACTCTACATGGCCGGAGCGACGGGTTCGAATTGGAGTCGGCCTCTCCGAGACATTGAAAAGAGAAATTGTAAAGGTGCTCCGGGAGCACCGGACGGTTTTCGCCTGGGGCCCAGAGGACATGCCTGGCGTCGACCGATCAATCATATCACACAAACTCGCCGTAGATCCGGAGCACCGACCGGTCGTACAGAAGAAACGATACCTAGCCAACGACCGGAGGGAATTTGTGAAGAAGGAAGTTGGCACGCTACTAGAGACCGGGCACATCCGCGAGGTTAAGTACCCGGAGTGGTTGGCCAATGTGGTCCTCGTGCCCAAGCCCCCGGCATGACGAATGTGCGTGGACTACACCGACCTTAATAAGGCTTGCCCGAAAGACCCGTTTCCCCTACCTCGGATCGACCAGTTAGTTGACGAAACGGCCGGGTCGGCGCTACTGAGTTTCATGGACGCCTTCAGAGGGTACCACCAAATATTTATGCACCCGGCGGATGAGGAGAAGACCGCCTTCCTGACACCGGACGGAGTTTACTATTATCGAGTCATGCCCTTCGGACTTAAAAATGCCGGGGCTACGTACACCCGAATGGTCGCCCGGTTGTTCCAACATCTGCTTGGGAAATCGATGGCTGCATACGTCGACGATATGCTCGTCAAGAGCCGGGAGGAGGATAAGCATGCGGAGGACTTGGCCGACTGCTTCAAGGTAATGATAAAATACAACCTTCGGCTGAACCCCAAAAAGTGCGCGTTCGCCGTCCAAGGTGGCAAATTCTTGGGTTACATGGTCACCAAACGAGGCATCGAGCCTAATCCGGAAAAAGTACAGGCCATCATCGACATGCAGCCTCCTACAACCGTCAGGGACCTACAACGGCTGACTGGCCGATTGGCCGCCCTTAGCCGCTTCTTGAGCAAAGCGGCGGATAAGACCGTACCCTTCTTCGAAGCCATGAAGAAGAAGGAGGGATTCGCTTGGACTGCCGAATGCCAACAATCGTTCGAGGAGTTGAAACAGTACCTCTCAACGCCCCCAGTGCTGTCTACCCCCCAGGTGGGCGAGCCTCTATTCTTGTATCTCGCCGCCTCAGCCAAGGCAGTGAGTTCGGTGTTGGTCCGAGAGGAGGACCGAGTCCAGCACCCGGTTTATTACGTAAGTCGCTCGCTGAAAGCCGCTGAGACGCGGTACGCCGTGTTGGAAAAGATTGTGTATGCATTGGTAGTCACCGTGCGCAAGCTGGCACCCTATTTCCAAGCTCATACCGTTCGAGTTTTGACAGACCAGCCGCTCGGAAGCGTGCTAAGAAACCCCTTGTCCTCCGGCCGACTTGTAAAGTGGGCCGTAGAGTTGACTCAGTACGGGATTGAATACCAACCCCGGCCTTCCATTAAGGGTCAAGCCTTGGCCGACTTCCTGGTTGAATGCACGGCAAGTGAGGAAGAAAAGGAACATGCCTCGGAGAGCTGCCCAGGCGAGTGGTGGGAAATGCACGCGGACGGAGCATCGAGTCGACAACACTGTGGAGGCGGTGTCATGCTCATCACTCCGGAAGGATTCCGGCTATATTACGCTCTGAGATATCGGTTCTCAACATCAAATAATGAGGCCGAGTACGAAGCGGTATTAAACGGCCTCCGACTCGCCAAGGCCCTGGGAGTCGAGCGGCTGCGAATCAAGACTGACTCCAGACTAGTAGTCGGACAGATCTCGGGTACGTGTGAAGCTAAGAATACAAGGATGGTACTATACAAAGAGCGTGCGGTCGAGATGTTAAAAGGGTTCGGGGCTTACGAGATAGAGTACATACCCCGCGCGGACAACATGGAAGCCGACCTATTGTCCAAAATTGCCCTGGAAGGGGTACCGGACCACCTGATAAAAATTTGCTAGAAGGAGGAGTTAAACCGGCCGAGTGTTGAGGAGGCACCACTGGAAGTCCAGCGAGTAGATATCGAGGAATGGGATCGAGTGAAAAATCCCGAAATGTTCTGGATAGAGGACATCCGGCGATTCATAGAAAAAGGCGAGTTACCGGAAGACCCGGGAGTCGCCGCGAGAGTTCGGCGGAAAGCCCCTTCCTTCCAGATCATCGACGGACAGCTATACAAACAGTCGTTCGGTGGACCCTTACTAAAGTGCCTGCTTAGACCCGAGGCCGAGAAAATAATGGACGAAGCTCATAGAGGCATTTGTGCCGCGCACCAGGGCGTTCACACGCTCGCCAGGAAGTTGGTCGTTCAAGGGTATTATTGGCCGACCATGATGCGAGACTGCATCGAATGGATGTCCAGATGCGGCGTTTGTCAAGCATTCGCCAGGAAAGACACCCGGCCGGCCACCTTTTATACACCGGTCACCATTGCTATCCCCTTCGCCAAGTGGGGAATAGACTTGTTGGGGCCATTGCCCGTCGCCCCGGGAGGTCTGAAGTTTTGTGTCGTGGCTATCGACTATTTCACCAAATGGGTCGAGGCAGAGCCATTGGCTAGCATCACTGAGTACCAATGTCGACGTTTTCTGTAGAAAAGGGTGATATGTCGCTTCGGCCTGCCCGAGCACATCGTCAGCGACAACGGGCGACAGTTTGACTGCCAGGCCTTCGCTGATTTCTGCCGCCGACACGGTATCAAGCATACCAAGGTCTCGGTGGCGTACCCACAAGCCAATGGGCAGGTCGAGAATGTGAATCGAACGTTGGTCGATGGGATCCGGAAGAAGCTCGAAGACATCCGAGGAAGTTGGGCGGATGAGTTTGACCGAGTCCTATGGGCTTATCGCACTACCCAGCGGCGAGCGACGGGGGAGAGCCCGTTCTCGCTCGCATACGGCTTCGAGGCCAAAGTTCCAGTCGAAGTAGTCGAGCCCACCCACCGGGTTCGCATCTACTCGGATGCAGCGAACGAAGAGAATTTGCGGATCGAGAAAAATTTCCTAGAAGAAAGGAGGGAAGCCGCAAGTGCACGGATGGTCGAGTACCAGCAGGCGGTGAAAAGATATCGCGATCGGAGGACTCGCCCGCGAACCTTCCAGGTTGGCGACCTCGTGTTACGCGATCGACAGGCCAGTCAGCCCACCGAAGGGGGCAAGTTTGCGGTTAAGTGGGAGGGGCCATATCGTATCGCAGCGGTGGTCCAAGCCGGAACCTATAAGTTAGAGACTATGGAAGGCAAGCTCATAGATCGCATATGGAATGTCACCCATTTGAAAAGGTTCTATCCGTAGAAAAGGATAGGCCGTGTACGTGCTCAAGGATTCCGAACATCTAAATAAAGCACATGGGTTACAGTTAATCGCCTCGACCGAGGGACTCGGCAAGAAAAGATAGGAAACAAGGGCCCAGACCCTTAGACGTTTCCGAGAAAAAGCCTACAGGAGTCGCCTCGACTGAGGGACTCGGCGAGTATTGAGAGAAACGACGGGGCACTGACCCTAAACTGTTTCTGAGATAGAAAAAGCCTAATGGGTCGCCTCGACCGAGGGACTCGGCAAGAAAAGATAGGAAACAAGGGCCCAGACCCTTAGACGTTTCCGAGAAAAAGCCTACAGGAGTCGCCTCGACTGAGGGACTCGGCGAGTATTGAGAGAAACGACGGGGCACTGACCCTAAACTGTTTCTGAGATAGAAAAAGCCTGATGGGTCGCCTCGACCGAGGGACTCGGCAAGAAAAGATAGGAAACAAGGGCCCAGACCCTTAGACGTTTCCGAGAAAAAGCCTACAGGAGTCGCCTCGACTGAGGGACTCGGCGAGTATTGAGAGAAACGACGGGGCACTGACCCTAAACTATTTCTGAGATAGAAAAACCCTAATGGGTCGCCTCGACCGAGGGACTCGGCAAGAAAAGATAGGAAACAAGGGCCCAGACCCTTAGACGTTTCCGAGAAAAAAGCCTACAGGAGTCGCCTCGACTGAGGGACTCGGCGAGTATTGAGAGAAACGACGGGGCACTGACCCTAAACTGTTTCTGAGATAGAAAAAGCCTGATGGGTCGCCTCGACCGAGGGACTCGGCAAGAAAAGATAGGAAACAAGGGCCCAGACCCTTAGACGTTTCCGAGAAAAAGCCTACAGGAGTCGCCTCGACTGTGGGACTCGGCGAGTATTGAGAGAAACGACGGGGCACTGACCCTAAACTGTTTCTGAGATAGAAAAAGCCTAATGGGTCGCCTCGACCGAGGGACTCGGCAAGAAAAGATAGGAAACAAGGGCCCAGACCCTTAGACGTTTCCGAGAAAAAGCCTACAGGAGTCGCCTCGACTGAGGGACTCGGCGAGTATTGAGAGAAACGACGGGGCACTGACCCTAAACTGTTTTTGAGATAGAAAAAGCCTGATGGGTCGCCTCGACCGAGGGACTCGGCAAGAAAAGATAGGAAACAAGGGCCCAGACTCTTAGACGTTTCCGAGAAAAAGCCCACGGGAGTCGCCTCGACTGAGGGACTCGGCGAGTATTGAGAGAAACGACGGGGCACTGACCCTAAACTGTTTCTGAGATAGGAAAAGCCTAATGGGTCGCCTCGACCGAGGGACTCAGCAAGAAAAGACAGGAAACAAGGGCCTGGACCCTTAGTCGTGCCTGTGGAAAAGCCTTGAAGAGTCGCCTCGACAGAAGGACTCGGTGAGCAGTTAAAAAAGACTAGGTCAAAGGACAAAGCGTCGAGCTCAAGATAATACGAAAAGGAAGAGAAAAGGGGAATTTCATTAAAAAAGGCCCGAAAAGGAGGTCAGCCTTTACAAAAGGGGGCTGTCCCCAAACAGAACAGCCCTAAACTACGGGGGAGGGGGTGTCGACATCAATCCCTTCGACTTGGGCCCCTGCCGTTGGTCCAGTCAGGGGAACAGAAGAAGGGTCCTCGGCCTGAAGAGAGGACTCGGCGAGCTCAGGAGGTGTCGCTGAAGGAAGAGTCGCCGGAAGAGCATCTATCACGGGCTTGAGGCCCCAGCTCTCGGGAGTGAAAGAGGAGTCGCGGACCAGCAAGGCGGAATGGATCTCTGTCTGCGCCTCGCGAAAGCCGAGGCGACAGTCGCGCTCGCCCAAGTCTAGGAGGAACTCGTCACCATCCGGCGTCGACAGCCACTCCTTGGCAATCTCTTTTTGGCGAGCCTCTATCGCCGCCTTCACCTCCGCCTCGAAGGCGGCCGACTTCTTGTACTCCTCAACAGAGGTCGCAGCAATCGTCGCCACCTTGTCTCGCTCCTCCTCCCACTGGCGAGTAACCCTCAGCATCTCAGAGTTGTGCACCTCCACCACCTTGAGGTGCTTCGCCTGCTCTTCCAAAAAGGCCTCCACCGTCTGACGCAGCTTGTTGGACATAGACCTCATGTCGGTCAAATAGTTCTGCAGCCGCTTACTCATCTCCATCTGGAAGGTGAGGTTCTGCGAAACAGACACGAATCAGGTAATGAAAGGAAAGGACGAAGGGAAGGTCAAGAGGGAAACACTTACGCGGTACGATTGGCGCAGTGAGGCCTCGAGGATGTACCCGTCCCCCAGAGCATGAGTCGCCTCCACGTCCTTTGGTAGAAGGACGTTAGCGCACCACTTGCGGACAGAGGAGGTGCCCATCCAGATCTGGGCATCCTCCTCTACCTCATGGCACAGCCGGATCCTTTTTGGAGCCGACTCGTCAGTTTGAACAGCCGGGCGCTTAGAACCGAAGCTCTCTGTCTGAGGAGGAGGTGGCTGTCGAGTGGGCGACACCACTGGCGACGGTGTCAGATCCACCACGTTTTGAGGAAGAGGAGGAGTCGGCCTGGGAGCCGGAGACGGTAGAGAAGAAGAGGCAGCAGCAGTACCGGAAGAGCGTTGGATCAGCCGACGCCTCATCTTTTCGGCTCTGTCTGCCATCTCGGGAGTCGGTTCAAACGCCTCGTCGGAGCTGGAGGAGTCGGAGTCGTATGGACCTGTAAAAAGGAAAGAGAAAGTATGAGGTGTTCCGAGTCAGAATAGGGCGAGATAGGAAAAAAAATGAGGGGTAACGAAGACTACCTACAGTGGCCGCACCCTCCGGTAGCAAGCCACGCTTAGCCATGGCCCGGACTCGGGACCAGTACTTGACGGAGTACGGCCCGAAGCCCTTCAAGAACTCGCCGCCCAAGACCGCATCGTCGGAAGGAACGGCACGTCGAGGACAAGGCTTGAACAGAGCGGCCGGCCACAAGGTCGGAAAAGTGAAAGAAGAAAGGGCAGGGCGGACGAAGAAATAAAGGAGCTTCCAATCCTTGATGGAATCGGACAGCTCCTCGAAAAGCTGTCGCCCCGGGCGAGCGGCGACTTAAACAAAGCCCGGCGAGTGCGAGCCAACCTTGTTTAAGGTAAAAAGATACCGGAACAGGTCGAGGTCCGGCTCGCACAGCCACCAGTGGCAGAGATTGATGAAACAAGTAAGGAGTCGGTGAAAATTGGGCACTAATTGGCCCGGAACCAAGTTATAATGCCGGTAAAAAAGAGAGAGAAAAGGACATGGAGGAACTCGGAAGCTAAAGGCAACCGAGTGTAGATGAATACCGACACAACCCTCGGGTGGGTCGTAAATTTGCCGGCCCTTCGGGGCAAGGACTATGGCCGAGGGCCCAAGAAGATACTGGGCCATCTCCAGATCCGCCGCAGTAGCGACGGACGGCGGTCCGGAAGGACAGACGATTGGATCGAACTTGCCCCGCGGCCGTATAACGCCGCCCGGCAGAGCCGCCACCGTCGTGAGAGGAGCGGGGCTCAGCGGAGTAACCGCCCCCGAAGAAGAGGGGGTCGGAGGAAGAGAAGATGTCGATGGAACGTCCGAGGGAAGTTCCGTACGACGGAGGGAAGACGTCAATGGAACGTCCGCCGGAAGTTCCATACGACGAGGAGGAGAAGAGGAAGACGAAGAAGGAGAAGAAGAAGAGGGAGAAGTCGCCTCGGTGTTGTCGACCGAGTAACGACGAGAAGAAGAAGAATGCGAGGAAGAAGACATTACCTAGGTCAGGAAGGAAATTGGAGGAGGAACAGAGTGGCCGGAGAAGCTCGAAGTTGAAACTGAAAAGGAAGACTGGAGAAGAGAGTGGGAAGAGAGACGAAGTGGCTATTTGAAGGGTAAGAATTTCAAAGGGCGGCCACATGCCACCTTCTCGTTGGAGGGGCTGGAGGTGACGAGACGTGAAGGGACGCCGCATTTAATGCCTCAAAAGGCGGCGCGACGGTTCAGGCCTAGAGTTAGCCCACAGACGGCGCGTCTGCCCTAGGCAAGGGTCGAACGTCACGTGACCCGGCCTGCTAAGCCGGAAGCCCGTAGCGGGCCATGGCCTCTGGGCCCACGAGATACGAGCTGGAAGCTTCTAGAAGCAACCCGGTAGAACCCGGCTCATCAAATGATATCGGCCGAGCTCACGAAGAAATTCCGGTCGCGGAGTCGGCGATCAGACTCGGCGACTCCCTCGACAGGAGGATCTCGCCATAGCAAGACTAGGGGTCCGTCTCATGGATCCGAGGTCGGGCGACAAAATAGTAAGAAATTGCGAGGTTGGATAAGAAAAGCACACTATTTATT